TGGTGGTGGTGGTGGTGGTGGTTCTATCAGTAGCCATAACAAGTAGAGTAACTAGAGCACTTACGCCACCACAAACAGGTACATGAGTTGGGGGTATAGCACCTCAGCCCTCACACCTGCACTAAACCCCCCAACCCGCAAAGACTCATTACGACGTCTGAATGGAAGCGATGACTCACAGGCTGCTAAAGCACGCCAGGCCTTTGGTGTGGGCGGCGTGTACCGCGGCAATTTCTTGCGCGGTGGAGCCGCCTGCCGCGTGAGCAGGGGTACCCGAAGAGGAGATACTCTTCTGACGAGATGGGGTTTTGGCAGTATGAAACTATCAGGCTATCAGGTCTCAGTATGATCTTTGCATGCTCAGGTCGTTGTAGTCAGGTGAAGGTGGAACCATGCAGCATCAAAGTTTAAGCATGGGCTTCAGAACGAAGCCAACATGGATCAGCACTTGCACTACGTGGCTTCGAGACGCCTGCTCCTAGATACCGAGCAAAAACTGAATTCCAACGATGACTCATTAAGTTGAAGCTGGTCTCAACATTTGCAACCCGACAGAGTGAGCGGTCCCTATAACAAGGGCTCGGCCACTCATGTCGAGAATCCCGCTGAGAGGAGAATCTGATGTCTTGAGCGACCCGTGATTCCATTCAAATTCACGCCAAGTGCAAACCCTAAACCCCAAACCNNTAAAGCCCAAACCTCTAAACCCTAAATCCCTAAAGCCCCTTTAGAAAAAGGCTAAAATCGGCATAAGCCTGACACAAAACCTTTCAGAACGTTGCGCCCTGGCGGGGTGTGATCTTTCAAAGCCTTTTCGGGGCAAGGCATGTCTGAGAACACCTCAAGATCCCGAAACCTCAAGGTGAAGGATGAATTCTCGAAAGCTCCCCGATGTCATGGTGCAGGATTGAATATAGGGGCCTTAATAATTAGAATAGGGTTTTGGGGCTCATTATGCTATAACTATAATAAGGAACCCCCACGATAATATTGGCAATTATTGAGGCCCCTTATATTAGGGTTGGCTTGGGTCTTCGGTCCTGCATCAATTGTCAATGACTAGGATATTAACTACTACGTCCGGGGCGATCTATTCGATCTATCCTACTTTTGCCATTGTAGTTGCAAAACGGAAGGACTGATACTGCCAGTCGTGGCGGAGATATTTCAAGAGCCAGGTGAGACAGCCGAACAACACCCAAAGGCCAAGGCTTCAGAAGTGCAACCCTCCCACTGGCCTCTGGTGTTCCAGCTTCTTGAGCCGGTCCAGTGCCCACCCGGCCTGCCACTGTCGCCGTCGGGTTGCTGTAAGGGCGCTGGTATACGTACTAGGATGGGGCGACTCGGTCTGGTCGGCAGGGATTCGTGTGTTTCTGGTCCATGGGCGCAGGTGTACGGTGTCCCAATAAATATTCATATCATCATCATCATCATCATCATCACCATCATTATCATTGCCTTCATCATCATCATCAACATCATCATCATCATCATCATCATCCTCGTCATCATCATCATCATCATCATCATCATCATGACAGCCACGAGAACCGGAATGGGAGAAGCAACAGGAGTCGTGAGATACTTGAGAAGATGATGTACAACATGCTAGGCATGAGTGGGATTTGCAGTGAAATTGTGCATGCCGCTTTCAGCGCCAAATCCTTGACCTCAAACCGCAAACTGAAGTGTTTCTCTGAAGCCCTAACATCCTAAACCAAGGCCCTATTCCAAACCCCTATAGTGTCAGGACCTGCATATAACCTTACCTCCAACAAACTAACCCTAAACATCTAAACCGAAAACCCAAGGCCCTAAACCCTAAACCCTAAACCCTAAACCCTAAACCCTAAACCCTAAACCCTAAACCCTAAACCCTAGCTTTGCCCAAGCCTTGCAAACCGGGATCCTCTGGCGCGCTGGCCCCGATCCTCGGCTCTGCTTGGTCACACCCTGGAACTCGGATCCTTAACCCCCAGGAAAGTGAGAATATGGGTTTAGGGTTTAGGGTTTAGGGTTTAGGGTTTAGGGTTTAGGGTTTAGGGTTGAGGAGAATGTGCGTACCCATAGTCACAAATACTTATGTGTCTAGCACTCTGCGTCTGCGTGTTGCCTGAGGAACTTTCTGAGCTATAACCTGGATCAGCCCTTGGACCATGTAGCAGAGCGACGGCACCCGCACCTCTTCAGCAGGTTTGTTCCAAGCAGGGGCTTTGGAGTTAAAACCTAAAACAAGGGAGACTCACAGAGTTAAGGGCTTAGGGCTTTAGGGTGTCGTCTTAGGCTTTAGAGCCGGGTGCTGCGAGTTGGGAAGGCCGCAGCTCCCGTTGTTTAGGGCTTCGGGTAGAGCGTTTACGGTCGGCCTAGGGTGCTGGCTTGGTTTTTTTTAGGGTTTAGGGTTTAGGGTTCAGGGGTTTGAGGCTCAGGGTCATGCAGACCCTTCATTGACTAACACCCCTCCGTTCGCAAGGGTCGCAATAGCCGGGCAGGATGGGTGGGTATTGAAACGCGAGCCTGACTTGTGATGTAGTTGTGCGTCATTGTTTGGTTCGAGGCTCGAGATATCGCCAACTTGAACTCAAATCTCGCAATGCCCGTTGGAGCATTGTACAGTAATATCTTTTACAGTCTCTGATCAAGTATGTAGTATAATGTATAATCTAATATATACTGTTTATATACTATAATCTACAACAAACTGGTTTCACAGTCTTACTGTTGTGTTTGTAGTGACGCATTTCTTGGTGTTGCCTGTTGTGCTGCCATGGGTAAGACGGGCAGAACAAAAGGACGGGTGAGCGGTTCACATAAAACCGTTGCAAACAAAGCAAGAAATCGCAGCAAGAACGGGTTTAGGGCCAAGTCCAGCGTTCAGGAGTCTCACGTTTTGTCGCTGTCTAGTCAGGGTGGTCGGGCAACTGCACGGTCCCAGCTAAAGGAGGCTTGAACCCTAAACCCTTAACCCCAAACCTAAACCGAGTAGGAAGTCTGTAGGAATGGCGTTCCAACTCGAGGATCCTGTGCTGCTACCTGGCTTTCACGTGCGGAAAGTCGGGGTGTTCCTATGAAAGTAGGACTCTCTTCAAGGCTTTGACACAGAGCTTCATGTGAACTACGAATGAAGATCTCTAACCTGAGGACATACCGAGGCGTAAATAGCCATCTTCCAACAACCAAGGACACCTAAACATTGCCTTCATCAAAGAGCCGACCCTCCGCTTTTGGAAGCCTTGGGCATGATGAGCTTTCGTCACTACGCCAGAAGTGTTTGAGGTTAAGGGCTTAATTTGGCCTTCCGGCCAAGAGTTTAGCGCTTAGGGTTTAGGAATGTACAACCGTGCTGGCCTTCTTGCTGGGAGCATGCTTCTGCCGTGGCACGGAGGACGCTGCTGAAACCTTGCGGAAAAAACGACGCTCGTGCAGGGTTTCATGTTACTCGATAACTATCTGCCTACCTTTATGTATATACGTATGTGGATGTAAATCTCAGGTTATGTACCGCGATATGTGTATACATATATATATATATATACATGCAGCTATACAATAATGCAATTATGTGATTATGTCTAAATGGTTGCTATATATGTATATAAATATGTACTGGTACAGATATCTAATGATGTCACTATGTGCGTATGTATGTACTTAAATAAGAGCATAACATTATAGCGGAATAGTGTTATATAGTTATATAGTGATCTACTAAATTCCTTTGATTGAAGTACAGAATAAAGTATTCCGGGGGTTCAACTCCTCCTCCGCTGGCTAGGCCACTGATTATGCACCTTTCGGTGCTCCCCTTGCTCCACATGATCCCAAGTGCGACGAAACTATAGTCCTGGCGATGTAGGCGCTGCCAATTACCGGTATACATTCGGGTAGCAGAGCACAAACTCAGGGTTTGCGTGCTGTATGTATATGTACTGTTGTCTGATACTGTACGTTGCGATACCATAGCAAACCACTCCTCACTACATGCCCTTTATCATTCATGAGGCATGTACTGTTGGGAAGCATTACCATCCTATAATCACAATCTGTTTGCGCGCGTCTGCATTGCTGGTGGACTTAACAAGACAGAGCGCCAGAGAAAGAGAGAGAGAGAGAGAGAACGAGACAGAAGAAGCAAGAGAGAGCAGGAGAAAGAAAGCGTGAGTGAGTCGGTCAGTCAGCCTGACAGTGAGTCAGTGAGTGGAGTGGAGTGGAGTGGAG